TTAGCATTCGAGGTTAAGCAGAGAGTCCATGGCCCAATGGTCAACAGAACAGGCTTTTCCCCATCCGATCCTAAGTGGTATGATAGGCCTACTGATCTATATGAGCTCGATACATTGATCCCTGCTGCTGTCCATGGTTATGATGATGTTATTGATTATTATCATGATATGAGTGCCTGTAGTGAGAAATACAGCAATGGTGGCGCGAATATCGCCATACCAACTCTCTTGATACATTCCCGTGATGATCCTATCATTCATGTTGAGGCTGGAGCTGTGTTACCACCAACAGCATCTAAGTATCTATTCTCATTGATAACAGATAACGGTGGGCATGTAGGTTGGCCTCAGGGCTGGCTACCTTGGAAAACGGGGTTCAAGTGGGTCTCTGAGACCGCTATCCAATTCGCCGAGACAGTAGCATTGAATTGGGATCTGCTTGACGACGCTCACTAAAGGAAGATACTTGATTACTATCTATTATACCATCAGATTTGTTATACATGTGTAGTGTTCATTTTACACCAGATCAGATTAATGCTGTTCTGATAGGATATCCGGCTTATGGACTTGCGTGTTGTAGTATTGTATTAAACTGGGAGGGCCCCGACTACTGCTAACTCAATCAGCAGATCTTCTCACTTCATATAATCACATCATTGTATGAAATGAAGGCCGAGGCAACAACTCTTGTTGTCGCCGATACCCTGGCTAGAGCACAGCAGTTATTGCAACGCCCAGTTTCCCCTACTGTTGCCGAACTTGAACAACTTAATTCTTCCAAGGCAGCTAACGACGACAAACTGGCGACTCGAGGTACCATGCCAGAGAAGAAAACACTTGGTCGAGGGCATGGTAGCCGGGGCACTGGGAAAGACAATAGTGAAGCCTATCACCATGCTCTCGATGTACTTGATGAATTAACTAGACAGATGAAAGAGAAGAAGAGGACTATGATGAGGGAAGGGACGAAACACAATAATGATAACTCTAGGATACGAGGCTATGACTGGGCTCAAGTTGAAAGGATGCGAATGAACATAGAGAAATTAGAAGGTCAACTGAAGGCAGACAGAGGTGCTCTAAAGCCGCCTCCAGACAAGAAGGGAGTACATGCAGCTCGGGCGAGGATCAGAGCCAAATATAATGAGGAACGGAACACAACGGCGGCGGAAGTGGTGAAGGAGGATTCTGAAAGGGAAGAGAGGAAAATATTGCAACTACAGTGTAGGGTAGCGGAAACACTTCGGAGTGTAGCCAGGGAACGAAGGGCTCGTGTGAGAAGTGAAAGGATTGCAGCAGAAGAGGGTCGTAGGCGGAAGGCTATGAATGATGAGAAGGCTGTGAGGGAACAGCATGCTGCTGCTCGAAGGGTGACAGAGAGAGCTCGGCAGGCTAGGGAGGATGAGGTTGCCCAGAGAGAGGCTCACCAACGCCAGGCTCAGGCAAGGCTTGCTGCGAATAAGGCTAGGGTCACTCATCTTAGACAACGAACCAGGGAGAGGATGAAGAAGAAGAAGGCTATACGGGAAGAGGATATACTTTCTCGGGAACATAATCATCATCATGTTATGATTGATAACGAGGAGGTCATTCGAGGAAGGAGATTAGCAGCTAGGAGGGCAAGGGAGGTCCAACGACAATCCATGAAGGAACAAGAGGAGGCAGCAGCGAGGCAAGCTAAGGAGGAGAACCTCCGACAACGACAACTAGAAGAAATGGTTAAACGATATCGGTAGGAGTTGGATTCGTATTGTATTCGATGATACTCCCTCCTTTAGTACACGCAGTGCTGGTGTCACTGGTTATACCCCCAATATTATACCGAGGTGGACTCGGAAAGCAGCTATCTTAGGAGAGTATATGGAGGATGATAACCACAAGGATGATGAGGAGGAGGAGGACAATGCAGTGAAACTCCCACCTATTCTACCACTACCACCACCACTACGAGGAGGAGGAGGAGGTCGAGACCTGTCGCTGAGGAATACTCGGGTCGATGATGAGTTTAATGATTACTCGGTGCATTTAGGCAGCGTTGATAGCAACCCTTTGGAGACTACGACAATGAACCTCTGTCCACTACCACCACCACAAGAACAACAGTCAACAACATCATTCAATGATGAGGATATTCCTAGGTGTGATAAGTCAGTGTTAGACGATAGAGATACATTTCCCGTGATAATGAAGCCATCTAGGATGGATAGATGGAAGCCTCTTGTACCAATGATGGATGATGAATACTTCTTACAATTGGTCAAACGTGGTGTCACTGATAGTGGAATAGCATTGAAGTCGTATTCAAGTAACATGAAGTGTGATGGTTCGTGACGATGTTGAGTTGTGTTATTACGAGTAGGGTCTCCATACCTAGGTATTTATATCTACCATTTGTTGACTATACTAGTAACGCGAGTAACATGGACACGACATACATCACATGTAGATGACATCACCAAAAACATCGATATCACTCGGGTGTCCTTATGTGTTATATGCTATGCTCCTTGCTTGCGGCTTTATTCCTATTTCTTATTTCCTCCCGCATCTGTGTTTCCTTGATATTGTAGAAGGAGCTTATCCAATCAATAGGAGATTCATTAGGTGCAGAATTATATGATTTTAAGGTCTCCAATATTTGCCGACAATCTTGTAGAGTTTGCGTGGGATACTGATCAATCATGAGCACAGATTGTGGGAGAACCGTAATGCCAATTCTTCCC